CACACACACACACACACACACACTCACTCTCACACACACACACACACACACACACACACAGTTCAGTGACGTCACATGGGACTTCCTTCCTGAACTCCTGGCAGAGTAACACACACTTCCTCCGAGCTCTTTCACCTGAACAGGATGTGTGGGCTTTGTGTTTCAGTGCCTAACAATCATGAATAAAACTCCTTCAGATCAGCAGTGAGCTACAGTACTGCACAGCTATTACAATGGAAGTACACATACTGCAGTAAAACATCTGAGAACACAGTACAGTCACAGCTAGCGCTTTTCAGAGCAAAGTCACTAACTTATGAATAGAAAACCAGCCTTTCCTCAGTCTGTCAGAACACTGTCAACATTATTTTTCATAAAACAGAGTGGGGAGAGAAGTCAGAAGGTGAAGAGGCCTATACATATTGTGTAATGTCACCACATTAATAATAATAATAATACAAATTACATCACAGTTTCGGTCCTCAGACTCCCTGCTGGAGAACAGACTCATTATTATAAATAATAAAACATCTATAAGTATGATTTGTAAAGCATCGGCAGTAGAAAGAAGAGAGACATTCCTGAGCACATTATCACACACTATGGATTTGTTTTCAAAAGTAATTTCTGTCACAACAATGTCTGTATTATAGTGTATTATATTCCATTTAAAGGATTTTAAACAGAAAAGTTGTCAAGATATAAAATGTGACAACTTCCGCTTATTGACCCTTTTAATTTTCCTGGGGTTCTGAGAAGTCGTCACAGATGGGTAAACGTCTATGATGATGAATGGGAGATCATAGCAAAGATCATTTTTGTGTTCAAAAGCAAAATAAATAAATAAATTAATAAATAAATAAAATAAAGAGTAAAGAGTCCACAGAATGTGACAACTTGCCCCAACTTATAGCAAAAATACAAACGTATTGTCCGCACACTGGATAATTTATTACTTACATTTGTATTTTTGCTATAGTTTGACTTTTTTTTGTCCTGCACCTGAGCCCTGTGTGGGTTTGTGGGATGTGCGCAACTTTCTTACACTTTAACTTGCCCCAACTTGACATTCATTGTTTGGCCTTCCAAAAGAGGACGATATCTGCTTCGTCATGCCTGGAGCTGATCCGTGCTGGTCGCTGAGGGAATACATCAACTTCACACTGTGGATCGCCGGATCGACTTTCACCGTGGACGAAGCGTCACATGTGGTTGCCGCAAGCCCACCGGCCTCCGTTCACTCAAGGCCGTGGTGTGTGACGCTGTGTTTCGTTGTGAAAGCGAAACTACTTTGTTTGGTCTTCCAAAAGAGGACACGACTAGAAATCAGTGGTTAAGTTGTATTTACAACACTGTTCCTGAACAGTTTAACCCAAATATTCCGATGTGTCCAGCGCATGTTATGGAGGACCATTTCCTGATCCTGGTAGAGTAGACTACAATGCCGGCTGTTCTGACTCACAGACTGTAAGTAAGTTTTTTATATTTAAAGAATTTGCCACTGATGATTCAAACGCGAGTTTTTTGGGCAGTGTAGAGTAGCGCTTGTTGTTTGTCATTTCTCCGATCACAAATGCAGACATGGTTTTACAGTATGTGGAAAATAATGTGTTTTTTGAACCTTAAACCGCATAAACACATTTCATTACACCAAATACACAACATAATGTTCTTTTTAGCAACATCATATGACCCCTTTAATATATGTCAATGTGCTTTTATTGTCTATTTTTTAAAAAGGGTTTTGAACAAGGAGTTAGCAAAAACAAGCAATTGTGAACAATTAAAAGCGTATAAGTTACATTGCCTCTGGGTAGCTATACATGAATGAATCTGTTGAAATTACTGCATTCACATTTTTTGCTTCATTGTTCATATTTGTTTCAAATCTGATGATAAAGCTGTTCATTAAATCATGATTTATAAATATTTAATGACACATTGCCTATATGCAATATATATATATATTATGTAGATGATTTGTATTATGTATGGCTCGCTGATCGTGTCGCTGGTGAATCAGTAAATATGTGACCATGACTGAACACTTACAGCTCAAACACATCATCCAGCTATCAAAGCCTGCCCATTATGAAGCTTTATGATCACCTAGTTTCTACACCAAATTATTTGTGAGTGCATGCTGATCCAGACCAGTTCTCAGTCTGTTTCTTGATGAGACGCAATGCTTTATGCTTCAGCTTCTTTTTTTCATTTACAGAAACTCACCATTTTTGGCTGAAATATACATTAATCTACGCTAATGACCTGTTTAGAGCTGTTGCATACAGAGTGGAGTGTACTGTGATATTAAATATCAGTATTCCTGTAGTTCATGAAAATCATGCCTCATCAGCCTCTACTGAACCTTTGTAGACCCTACTAGAACAATGCACTCACATAACATTCAAAAACATCAACATTAAATATGCTTTGAAATTAGATCTTAAAATCAGCATTAATGGAAATTCACCATATCTATTTTCAAAATGCATCTTGTCATGAATGATTTATCCATGCATTTCTGTCTTTTTTTCCCCTTTCAGTTTGTAATTTTAATTAAAATGTTATAACTAGAGCTTGCAGTCTTTTCTCTGGTGATGTATGCTGGACTTCTCCAGTCATTTAGTCTGCTTAAACCCTGCTTAAACTTTCTCAAATTCAACCTCAAGCCTCAAGTCCCCACCCTCTGAACCCTACTTTTTTTCTTTTTTGAAAACCCATTTCAGTAAGAATACAGAAGCACATTTCTGTCGCTACTTGCCTTACATCACAACTTTAATCTTCTGTCTGCAGAAGCACTTAAAACAGTTTTTGAGTGAAAAGCAGAGCGCTCAACAAGGTCACCTTAATCAAGCTGAGCATTTGGATGTTCACTTTGAGTGGAAATGCATTAATATCTGTCTTAATTGCTTTCCACTGTCTGTTTACCGTGCAAAAGGAAATTGTGGTGCATGTGCTCGGATCAGAACAGATCAAAAATAATGCAGCTACGCATTCCAGTTTTAATGCACAAATAGTGTTTTTATGTAGATCAGACAGAAAGATTAGTACCAGTTTAAAAAGTCGTCATGTAAGGTTCCATTTTGATTAGGACTATTTACTGTATGTCGTCAGTTGCTCATGTAGCCAGCAAGTCA